CACCGATCCCCCTATTGATCTCACGCTCCCTACCCCCAATCGCGAAAAGACCCAGAGGTACTTGAACTCCTCCACTTGGGGAAGGGCGTCCGCTCCGACCGGGTGAAGGCACTCTACCCTTTTCTGGTGAGAGACCATGGTCTCGGACTTGGAGGCACTGATCCTCATCCCAGCCGCTCCAGCAAGAGCTGTAGGTCCCGACTTGATGAAGCCAACAGGACCACATCATCTGCATAAAGCAGAGATGCAATCCTAAAGCCACCAAGACTGACACCCTCAACACCTCGCCTGCGCCTGGAAATCCTGTCCATAAAAGTTATGAACAGGCCCGGAGACATAGGGCAACCTTGGCGGAGCCCAATTCCCACTGGAAACGGATCCGACTTACCACCAGCAATGTGAACCAAACTCTGACTCCGGTCATACAGGGACCGAACAGCCTGTAACAAAGGGCCAGGTACCCCATACTCCCGGAGCACCCCCCACAGGATACCCCGAGGGACACGGTCGAACGCCTTCTCCAAGTCCACAAAACACATGTGGACTTGTTGAGCGAACTCCCATGCACCCTCCAGGACCCCGCTGAGGGTATTGAGCTGGTCCAGCGTTCCACGGCCAGGACGAAAACCACACTGTTCCTCCTCAATCCGACACTCGACTATCCGATGGACCTTCCTCTCCAGAACCGCTGTGGGACTTCCTTGAGGACTGAAATGTAAATCAGAATCTCTTTTTTTATTGCTCATAAGAAACACAGTGGCCTTTTCCTTTCCTTTATCCATACTATGTTATGTAAGGGGACGTTTCTTTCTATCGGCACGCATTCACTTGAGTCTAATCTGTAATCTGCGTCTTCAAACGCTGTTGCCTTCGAATAAATCTTTGTATTGGACAAGATCGATCTTCTCTAATTATTAAAAAACTTTGCTTCGCTCATTTAAAGAACTTTTTCCATAACATGACACTGAAACCCCTCCACCACGATAAGGTGGCAGCCAAGGGAGGATGGACCTTCATTTGAATAAATCTCAAATCAGTTTGTGTCTTTGAACACCCTGCATCAATTCCTTATTTAAAAAGGTTTTGTTGTTCACATCTGAAGGGACACAAATCAGAATCATTTGCGTCTGCATTTGCCTAAAATTTACCAGGAGGGAAGTTCGGGGTCAGGTCACGGTGGCCTTAGGTTTGCATCCTTTACGAATGGGGGTACAGTGGAGCGTGAGATCTACAGACGGCTCGGGCCGTCGTCGGGCCCTGA